GGGATAGCATACATTACATATAGCATAGTTTTTATTTGTTGCCCTAATATAACACACAGTTCCTTTGCCTGTTGATTCTGAAAAAGTAAATTATTTCTGCTTTGAAGGAACAAGTAGTGACAATGTAGAAAATCAGAGTAGCTGACGGTTTGTTGGCAAGTAAGTCTGAGACTAGAGGAAAACTCAGATTTGAGAAGGAAGAGAGTTGTTCATGAACAAACCAGAGACAATGAGCAGAATAGACAATGATTGGCAGTGCGTAGTCTTCATAGGCAATAGAAAAGAGTAGCAGATGGTTTATTATTTTCCAATATTCTTTTACCAAAAGTAGATTTTGAGTTCCACATGTTGAAACATAGCCAGTACAAGCACTTCAATACTCACTGGTGAATGGTGTCTCAGGGTTTTCCAGACTAGAGGTGCTACCTCCCTACTACTGAATTGTACCTCCCCTGAATATATTGTCCCAGAGAGATTGAGTACAGTTTGGGTTTTGAGAGGAGAATAAACAAAATGTGAATCACGGAGAGACTCCAAAAAGTAACATGGACACTCTTTTAACCCAACCGTTACTGTGTTGTCACTTTGGAAATTCCTGAAAATTTTTCTGATCCTTAAGTTAGTCAATGAAATGTAAAGTGGCTGCTCTAATCCACAAGAGAAGGAGGGAAAACAGTCTATGAACAATGTCTAAAGGTACAAACTAAAGGAAAAGTTTGCAATATATGTGATCAATAGAATATTTTTGTTCTCTTCCTAGAGACAAGATAAGCAACATGATCAGAGAATCTGTTTAGAATTTTATGGATGATTTATACCTCATGGCTTTCTTTACATACTTAAAAATTTCAGAAGACGGAGGCAGTTACAGCAGTAACAAGCCCAAATTAACATTTCAGTGTCCTAACTGCAAAGGAAGAAAGGTAGATGGCAAAGAATTCTAGATTTGAAATGCTGACCAGATGACATCTGGAGGTAGAAGATACATAGTGGAAAATTTGTCAATAGAGACTGGATGGTACACATTTAGTGTTGATCTTAAGCAAAGTGATAAAGTGTAAGGAACACAATTAGTACATTAAGGATAATAAAATGAAACTGTTACAAAACAATGAAATTGTTAAAACATAGAATGGAGGTTTTGACAAGCAAAATTCCTCAAGACAGAAATAGCTTTTATAGCAAACACTTTTTACTTAGGTTCACCCAGTCCTGTAGGGAGTACAGAACAAGAAGATTTGGGTTTGTGCTGTATTACTGAAGCTGAGTTGAAAATGACATCATTTTCTACTTCATATGTATTAAAGCAAATTATAATAGTGTGTATGGGAAAGACTGAGTAAAAGAAAGAGAAAGATATGGTGTATCTTATTCTGAATTATGGACAAAATGGAAGTGGGTGATCCTAATTTATTAAGATCAGAATTCTGAGATAGGAGATGCCAAATTAAAGTTGACAAGCAATATTTGGTCTGAAAAAATTTATTGGGGCCTGGTCATCTTTTTTTCTATGGATCTTTGGTACTGAGCAGGAAACAGTCTGTGTACTTGACTAAATTTACTGTTAGCTATATTTTTTTCAAGTCTGTTATATGTTTTTCTCTATTTTGTAATCTGGTTGGGAGTCATCAAGAGATTTTTCCTTTTTTTGTGTAATTCTTTCAAGTGCACGCATGGATATACCTTACTATATGTTCTGCAAGCCTTAACATTTATGAAATCATGAAGCCTTCTTCATATATACAGAAAATGTTTGACTGCTGTAAGAAGAGCTGTAGAGCACCACCAGTGTCAGCTGGTGTCCTCTACAGAGCAACAAATCACATTTAAAAGCAACGAGTGTTAAACTCCTACATGCATTTACATAATATGCGTGGAGAAAAGTTTTGTTGTGCCTGTGAGTTTTCAGTTCATGTAGCATCCGAGACTTTACTCAGTTGTCAGTAAAACATTGTTAGAGCTTGCTTAAAGAATGTGAGTGATCAAGTTTTGTTTCTTTTGTTTCTTTTCTTCTTTTAATTAATAAATGTATCAACAATGTTGAAGGAATTCTGTATCAAATGTGTGTGAAAACAGTTGTGAAAATTGCAAGGAAATATTCTATAATAAAATAAAATCAAATCTGATATCACAGGATAAAAAAGTGAAGACAGGAATCAGTTATATTCTGTATTATAAACGAAACCAGAAATATAACAAGCTGAATTTAGTTATACTAAAGGTAGAAAAGTCCCTTAATCTGCAGAAAAATCTTTCTGGGTCCACAAACTCATTTTCGGCCAAGAGTTACCCGCTATGATTCTCAAGGATGAAAGAGTTTATTATTTATTCTCACTGCCAGTTGAAAAAAGATGACATCCTGAGACACCTGACCTTTCTTGATGAATAGGTCAGCATGGCTTTAAACTAAGATTTAAAGCTGTTTGAAGCCTTCTGAGCTACAAAAAGCAGCAGATCATTACAAATTAATCAATCCCTTTGATTTCTCACTTTTCATTTTCTATCTCAACACTGGGGCACAACTAAGATTTACAAAAATGTCACCTTTCAGAGTTAAGTGTAATTAGCAAGTTCCTTTCACTTCAATTCAGCCTGTGAAGAACTTCCCAAAGTAAAAGTTTGTGTCAGGAAATCAGTTAACTTTTTGGTTATATTCAGTTGATAAAACAGCTGATTTATTATTTGTGTTAACTACTGATTAACATAAGTGACTTTAAAAAAAATCCTCTTTATCACTCTGTTCAAAAACTTGTCTTGCTTGTTTAGGTGAGCTGCTACTTCACAGAAACTTTCTTCTCGCTTAAGCCATCTTTAATGTTTGGTGCAAAACAGTAGGGATAAACCTAAAACGGGTAGTGCTGAGGACCTGACATCTGTATTATATATTTTTCAGGGTTTTTCACTTTGGACTGGATCTTCTCTGGTCCTGCAAACTGAATCCTCATTTGCAGCTGGAATCCACTAGGAAGCTGCTTTGGATTTCCTCATTCCAGAATAATTCATGAGACTAATTTGGGAAAATCACATATTTTTTTAGAAGTTTGTGAAAGAGATGTAATCTTTCTGTCATGTATTTCCGGTCCTCCCTCTGTTTTGTTACCTTTGATTTGAGAATACATATAGGAGAAGATGATATAATAAATATTGTCTGAACATAAAGCATATAAATTACAAATATAAAACACTAGTGTTCAAAATTATTTCAGTTGATCATGAACTGATGTATTAAAAATGTTCATTAATTTGTCTACTAATTTTGATGGAGCGCTTTCTTTTTGCAAGTGACAAAGTTGAAGACTCATAGTTGAATTTAAATGGTAATTTGAAGCAACAGGTAATGTGAAATGGTCTCAAATGGAAATCTCATTCACAGACTTAAATTAGATCTCTACCTGTTTGTGAGAGACTGTATCTCATAGAAAATCATCAGTTTGTCACGTTTTTTTCCTTTTTGCTATGATTTTTTTCAAAAATCAACCACTTAACACAGTGAATAGTCACTTATAAATAAGTGATCAGAAAAAGTATTTGAAGAATCGTTGTAAAATTTTATTTATCCAGAACTGTACAGTTATCTTAGTTGACTAAATATACTATATATGCATGTGTGATGTTCAGCTGAGATAAATAAACACAGAAATAAATGTTTGTTAGTGGTGAATAAATAAATAAATAAATAAATAAATAAATAGTGAATTAGGCGTCTCTGCTGGTAGCAACAAATTTTATTTCTAATTTCAGCCTTTTGTAGCCATCTATTGTTTTTATTAATTGCATTAACCTAAATGTGAACTGTTTATGAATTAGAATCTTTAATTCTAAAATTCATGATTACTAGAGTTGAACACAACATGAGAAGTGATAGAACTACTACACCTAATTAGTCATTGCTCATCATTTGAGCCAGAGTAAAGATCACATATGTTGTCAAGCTGCCTTACTTGAGATAAAATATAGTATCTTAGAGCACTGTGAAATTATGAAGTCATTTCAAACTGTCGTATTTTACTTTGCTGTAGGAATGAGCTAAGAGCACAAAAACGATCAATTACCACAGGTTTGTTTGGTGTTTGTTTTTTGTTTTTTTTTTTTTTCTCTGGGACAAAATAGTTAACAATATACAAATAGATATATATTTCCTCTTGATTTTTGAGTTCTCCTGTTACGATTCTTGTGTCTTTTATCAGTGTGCTTACATATTATATTTTCAAATGAATCCAGAAATTTGATCCATCTTTTATGGAAGCATGTGGTACACTATACCTGTACCACATTTCTAGCTCAAGATCATCTGTGAATATTAACTCCTAACAAAATCATAATATTACTGTAGATGGTATTTAGAAGAATGCCTTAGCTTAAGTAATGACGATCATACCCGGTACTTGCTGTAATTTTGACTATCTAAATCAGATCCACAAACAAGGCATGCACAGTTTGTAAGTGTTTTGAAATTATTTTCCTTTGGAAATGCTTCTTAAAAATATGTTGCATTACACAATGATTTTTTTTTTTTTTTTGTTATGTTATTAATGAATAGCATGTTAAGCTACTAACAGTTTTACTGAAGGTAGAAGGAATGTGTGGTCACATGCTGTTAGTAAATGTAATAAAAAATAAGCATTTAAGAGCAATCAAGAGTACCTGTGGAGTATGAAATATTGTTGACTAATAAGTTCTTTTTGACTCTGAGAGGTTATCTTATTAATAATTGGGACATCTACATGACAGAAATTATCAGAAAGGCTGAGCACTAATTTCTATGTGTGCTTTATAGTCATATGTTGATGTGCCACTTGGTTCACATCAAAGGAAGCAGAACCAAATTAGAATTAAATGTCATGCTGTGTTTTGCTGCCTACACGCATTAATACTATATTGCTTCTGGCAATTTATATTTGCTATGAAAATTTGTTCTGTAAAAACTGTTTTTTATATATATATATGAAATTTTTAATACATATATAAATGTAAAAGACACGTTTCTAACTTTTTTGCAGACTTGTCCTCAGTTCTGTCTCTGATTACTTTGCTGCCATGTTTACAAGTGATGTTTGTGAAGCCAAACAAGAAGAGATAAAAATGGAAGGCATAGACCCCAATGCACTGTGGGATCTTGTTCAGTTTGCATATACAGGTATTGTAGTACATACATTATACTTCCTATAGAGAAAGACGTTGATAGTTTTGTTTGCATGACAATGAATTATATTTATTTTCTAAATAGATTTTCTTTTCAATCTCAATCCATCTAAAAAATTATTTACCATTTCTAAGGCTGAATTCAGATTGTCTCTTATCTCCAAACTGTTAAATATGTGAGGCTTTGTAAATAGAAGAGGACACTCTAGAAAATTATGTATTTTTCTCAATTTTCAAATACTTAAAAAGATTGCCTCATATGCATGATTAAGATTACAAGAGATCATTGAATGAACAGCTGTATTTTTTGAAGAATAACTCTATATTACTGTTTTAGCCCAATTTAAGTTTAAATAATTACATATATCTTTAAAATTGTAAATAATAAAGTATTTTTAAAATGTTCTATTATGAGTTGGATGTTGTCGCTTTCATTTCCTGTTAGAGGCTGGTACACTGTTTTGTAATGTAAACTTATGAATAACTCATAACTCAGAGTTAATAACTCAGAACTTCTTTCTGAATAGTTATTACATTTTAATGCATAATAAATTTGTATCCTTCTTAAACAAGCTGTTATGCACAATGTATCTGAAGTTCATTAATATGAAAGAATACTAAAGTAAAAAGAAAGTAATTAAAAGAGAGGAAATACCAATAATAATATTTGTAGACTGAATTTATCTCCTCTTGCCTATGAATCATGTAAGTATAATATACATGCTGTTTCCTATTTGTTTCCTAAAATACATCCTCACATTGTTTAAATTAACAGTATTTTATCCTGATGTTTCTATTGAATATTTGATTTTAGCTTCAATTTAAAATAGATAGCCCATATCCTGTAGTTTTGATTCTCTCTAAATACACATGTATTAATTTAATCATAAGTAGCTGTTTGCTTTGATATATTGAATCAGGATATGTGCTGTTTATGACATAATAACTTTACTATCTAATAGAAAACAGAAACTGCAAATAAACATAATTTAAAGTAAAAAATATTTTTTTTTCAGAATCATGTTTGAGAAATTCAGGTTCTAGGAATGTCAAACCATCTGCATTTATATAGTACTCTACACGTTCAAAGGGTAATGCATACTCCCTTCAGTTGTGGTGTTGCTGTTCAGGAATGTACATCATCCACAGGGTTTCAGGCTAAGGATCCATGAAGTGAAGAACATAGACTCATAGAACATTTCGGGTTGGAAGGAACCTTAAAGACCATCTAGTTCCACCTCCTCCCACGCCAGGCAGGGACACGTTCCACTACACCAGGTTGCTCAAAGCCCCGTCCACTGTGGCCTTGCACATTTCCAGGGAGGGAGCATCCACAACTTTTCCAGGCAACCTGTTCCAGTGACTCACCACCCTCACAGTAAAGAATTTCTTCCTAATATCTAATCTAAATCTACCCTCTTTCAGTTTAAAACTGTTGCCCCTCATCCTATCACTATGCTTCCCGATAAAGAGTCCTTTTCCTGTAGCCCCCTTTAAGTATTGGATGACCGCTATAAGGTCTCCCTGGAGCCTTCTCCAGGCTGAACATCCCCAACTCTCTCAGCCTGTCCTCATAAGGGAGGTGCTCCAGCCCCCTGATGATCTCTGTGGCTCTCTTCTGGACCTGCTTGAGCAGGTCTGAGTCCTTATTCTAGGGCCCTAGAGCTGGACACAGTACTCCAGGCGGAGTCTCACGAGAGTAGAGGGGGAGAATCACATCCCTCGACCTGCTGGCCATGTAAGTAGTTTGCATCATGCACAAATAGATACAGTCTGATTACTAGGTATGAGTTTAAAATGAATGGCACAGAAATACTGGGACAAAATCAAGAATTCCTTGGGTCAGAATTAGAAAAGGCCTTAGTGGTAATGTTAAATCATTTGTAAGAGGAATGTAAGAGGAAGAGGAGGTAAGAGGAAAATAAGGGACAGTGGTGTTCCCCTGGGAAGAAAACTGTGGAAATACATAAGTGCTGTGTGTTTCTTTTGCCTCAGTTTTCACTAAAAGATCATGTGCAAACACACAGCACTGTTAATATTGACCACAAAAGACAGCACATAGATTAAGAAAAGAAAGAGACATAGTAGGAAGCAAAAAAATACTTAGCCATCTTCAATATGAATGAAACTATATCACAACTTTATTGGCTATCTCTGAGAACTTTGGATGAGGTAATGAAAAACTAGAAAACACAAACTCCTTCCATTTCTGCGAAAGATTAAGATTTTCAGCTGCTTTATGCTCCTTGATTTGTCTATGTGGTGGTGACTCTCTTTATTATATGAGGTTGAAAACTTGGAGGTTTCTTCTTGGTATTAGGCAAATAAGGACTGGTCTTCACAAACGGGAAATCCACAGGTAGTATAATTCCACTGTTTTCTAATTTGCCTTATGTGAATTTGCATCTGTAATATTCTGTCTTTTAAACTGTCACATAAAGCTCAGACTACCTTAAAAATGGCAACATTATGTTCTATCATAATGTCACCTTGAAGAATTAGAAACTTAACGTGTTAACAAAGGTCTCTAATTTCTTTCACTTGCAATGGTAATACACCATTATTCTTTTCATTCTAAGCAATTTTGGAGACCAAATAAGACTTTTAAAATGTCTTCTTAGGTTTATTCATGAAAAGGAAACTTCACCAGTATTTGCCGACAATAGAAGAATGATGAGATTCAGGAAACATGAGTCCATTTTACATGCTAAAAGACAACATCTATTGGATGCCATAGACCATTCTGGTTTTGATTACTCTGTCTTGCATTTCTCTTCCATCAGGTTCTTCATCCTAATTTATTCTGATTTATCCTGATTTAGTCTCATCTTGTGCCCTTATCTCTTGAAACTCCTGTTAGATTATTTTTTTCTCTATTCCTTTTTTCTGCATCATGTCTTATCAGACTCCTAAATTTTTTAGCTACAGTTATGCTAGTAAATTAAACCGTGCTAGGGAACATTTGCAGGAATTGGAACACAATTATCTATATTGATGCTGGCGGTTTAAGCCAAATCAAACTAGCAGTCTTTCTTACAAACCTTTGGTGTAGCTTGGATACGGAGACTCGTCATAAATGTGGCCACCCCTGTACAAAGAGAAAAACCACTCAGAAGTGCTACGGACAATTCAGTGATAACTCACAGGCGATCAGGGAATTCCTAGAACATGGTCCCAAGCTTACTGAGTTAATTGAAATTGAAGACAATCTTTGCTCCTCGGTTAATCATTCTGTTTTCCTATTGTCATTGCCAGATCAAGACCTGTTCCCTCAAATTTAATTTTTTTTTTCCTTTCCCTTTCATTTCCACCATCTCTCATGATTTATCTAACTTCATAATTAATCTCTTTTCTTGTCTCTGATTCCTGATTTAGTCTAGCTCATGTTCCCTTTTCCTTTGAGTCAGTTCACTTTCTTCTTTGTGCTGCCTGGATGTGGGCAAGGGGAACACTGAAACGTAAATAAAAGAAATAAAAGAAAAATCATAAATAAAAGAATAAAAGTAAATAAAAGAAATCATCACTATTCTATATACAGCAGTGTAGCAGACAACAGAAATTCCCATCCAGCCTTTTAATCTGTAACCTGGAGCATACATACTCCAGACAGAATATCTGTAGTATTCAGCTGCCAAATTCCAATCACTGACTTGTACAGTATGTGAAAGTTTTCAGCAACTCGTGTCTGTGGCCAGCTTAGCTCTTTATTCTTTTACTGCAGGAATAACAAGCTATTCTGACAAATGGAGAGGTATTCATTCTTCTGTTTTCTTTTTCCTGTCACTACCTTCTTAGCTCAATGAGATTAAAGAAAAAATTAATTTCACATATACTTGCTGCTGTTAGAAGTTTTCCCCTGGGGACAACAACATTTCAGGAAAATACAGCTGAACATGGGCTAGTTTGAAAAAACTTAGAAGTTAAGAGCATTACACTGCAAATATTTTCAGATGTGATTTAAAAAGGGAACCATTTCCACATTATACTAACTTTTTAGAATCTAGTGAAAATATTTCCTTTTGACTATGAATCATACATATTAAATAGCGGTTCAAGAAGTGTAAAATATGTGTAACTATGAAAAGTATTACTATAGATAAAAGTAGCCTGTGCTGATACTAGACCCTTCAGTTCCATCAATAAAATCAAATACCATTGCAAAATATCAGAACTGGAGTTCAGTGAAGGGGAGGTGGTGTACATCAGAGACCTGAAGAAAGATTGGTATATTTGTCTGAGAGGAGGGTTGTTGACATCTGCTATATCCATCAGTACAAAACAAGGGAATAATATTAGTTCGGTAATCAGTTACACACAGCTTTGTGTATCTTCAATTTTTCCTTTTAGCTCATATTAATTAAAATATTTCTTACCTGTGCTTCCAGAAACATCCACACTCTTCCGAAAGGACATGATTTTCTGGATTGAATTTCTGGTCACTGTTCCATGCCATTTCCTCTAAATCGTTGAAATAGGAGATAACTCCTTTGTTCAAAACAACAAAATTATATTGTCTACTTTTAGAAATCATTAATAAATGTTCTTTCTTTGGTCCCTTTCTAAACACATTCTGTAACTGTGGCTGTATAAGCATCTGTATTGGCTCAGATCATAAATACATTAACTCAGAGACTTGCCAGTAATAGTATCTGATAGTAGATATCTGGTAGCATGATAAGAGTAATCATAATTTGGCTGGCATATCCTCCTAGCTTCTAGCTTTATGGAACATAATTTAATATTTTTTGTAGTCAGTGATCAAATGTGAAGTGGTCTAATCTTTTTGAAAGCATGTATAGTTTCAGCCTCTGCAGCATACTGTGGTAATGAGTTAAACTCTGTAAAATATATTTCCTTTGGTGTTTCCAAATTTGCTATCTGTTTGTTTGTTGGATTTTTTTGTTTGTTTTTTTTTGTTGTTTTTTTTTAATTTCTCATAGTTTCTACTTATGTGAAATATAAAAAATAACAAACATTCCTTTTCCCCTCATTTGT